ATTTTATAATCTAAGATGCAAATTTACTACTAGCTAACATTATGCAAGCTGTTCGTTTGTTAAGAAAATATCTGAGTAACTAATTCATACAAGTTTAGCCCAGATAAGAGTACTGTACCTGTAATTATTTACAAAATGTTGTGCATCATTGTAATTGGGTCATGTGAAGCTTCCCTAAAGAAGTATTTAAATTTGATACCTCCGCTTTAAATAATTTCTCCTCTCTCTATTTGTGGAGAAGGAAGGAGATGAGAACCAAGCTATAATTTATCAGATATCCCTACTTCCACATGATATGGGATTATCAATGTTTTTCAACAATTGCACATTGCTCCTACTAGCATCACATAAAAACAATTCCCACTTTGATGTTTGCTGGCAGTTTGGAAGTTTGCCATCACTACATTACTATACTGAACTGTAATAAGCATAAACAGACAATAGAAAAAGAAAAGTCAGAACCACAAAAATGTCCCGTTAACAGGAGAAAATTAGCCCAAGCAAACCATGGAGTATCATAATGTCAAGATACATAGTTTTGAGCAATTATTTGGCACACCAGTACTTCCCACTCCAATCTACTACTATTGTATTGGCCATGCAACCAAATCCTGACACATCAATACTATTCAGCTAAAGATCAACTGTGTTTTTGCAAAACAGCTAATCCAAATTATGCAACATTGGCTTGGATCACAGAGCTTGGGCAATTGCTGAAGCCAACCAGCACAGAAGCTTACCCCTATGTACCATCTCTATCCTATGGTAGATATGCCAAGCATACAACACTGTGTAGAAAACTGGCAGTGATTTTTGACCAGCTGCATTATTAGGCCTCCTCCTACTTCTTTACTGCCTTATTTAGCAAAATACTTCATAAGTATTTAAAAAACTGGACTACTTGGTTCTAACCAGCACTAGGAGTTTGCCATCTGCACAGACTAAATAATATAGGCCAACTTGCCACTGACAGAAGAAATCTGTTTCTTCAGAATCTAAATGGTGACCAGGTCTAATCTATGTAAAATAGCAGTACATTACCTTCTTGTGACTTGGGCACCATGTTTCTGTTGATGTAAACTGGAACTGCTTTAGCCTGTTTGAGGCATTTCTGAAACTGGGGACTTACATGCAGTTTTCGACTTATTAAAAATGCTCTGTCCTTTCCCCTGTACTGCTGTTGAAATGGGTGCGCTTCATCCTGTGTTTGTGGATCTGATTCTTGTTTCTGTTTGCGTACACATTTCTGGGCACATCTTAATTGGTAAAATGACTTAATTCCTGACTGAAAACGAACCAGGGAATTTGATTTTGAATTCTTCTCAGCTAAAGAAACTACAAGATACTGTTTAGGTTCCAGTTCTGGGAAAAAAGAGGAAACAAATCTTATAATAGATGAAATCTAGGAAAGGGCTAAACTCAAAATAACTGAGACAAAAACTAAGCATTCGATTCCTCTCCTTTTTTAAAAGCAATAGCAAAGACCAACAGTGGATGGAAAAGGCATACTATGCACTATTCTCCCCACAACCCTTACTTCAGCTTGTTTTCAGCAAATAGCAGTTGGGATGATTTTCAGTAGGAAAATGGTGCAGCAAGAAAGGGTTAGGCTTTAGCCACTTCATGTCCTTAGTTTAGACTCTTTCTTTTGTGGAACTGCCATTTTTATTCATTTGTTTTAACTGTGAAAAGCATCCCACAGATGGGATTCAATTATATTTTTAACATAATGTCTACACTGATCCTAAAATCATTTCCAGACGGTGAAGTTTTCAATATGAGCAAAACTGAATCAGTATGCCTGACATTCTTAAGCCACAAAGCTACTCAGTCAATTCCTGTGATTGCTATTAGTCGACAGTACAGGTAGGATTTGATGAATCCAACCTACTTTCAGAAATGCCTCAATAAAGCCCACACACAGACATGTAGAGACCATAAAATCCCTTCATAACACAAGACTTCTACTGAATTCCCATAAAGGCACTCTGTTGAGAGAATCCAAGGCAACTGATAAGTCAGTTTGCATTTTTTTTCCTAGGAGCTACCCATTTCCAGGAGAAGATACCTGTGTATGTAAAAGAGACATCCTCACTACCCATATGAAGACAAAGCAAGTAAAATCAGATTTGAGGTATGCCAGAAGGCCCAAGGATGTCCTTTTGCTGAAAGCCAAAGTTGATGAGTTATTACTAGCATTTTGAAAAGTTTAATTAATTTACAGATTGTTTACTCATTTTTTACCTTGCAAGCAACTGAGTATTTCTCACTCTTACTCTGGTTCTTTAACAAACAGTACTGAACTGGAAACATGCTAAATTGTCTCAGCCACATGCTGATTACACTAATTTCATGTTAAAGGAATTAAAGAGAATTTAGGTTCTGCTTTCTTGCATATCCAGGACATAAGCTATTAAAACCTGAGTGATGGCAGCGTCTTTCAGAAGAACTCAGGCCGAGACGGGCCATACAGACATTGATTAATATTACAGAAATTTTAAAAAGAAGTGGAGAATGTGAGGTTGTATACTAAAAGCCAAGAAATAAGGACGAGGAACGCTGAGACAGTGCTCTATACAGGGTTTGGATTTTTCCTCCCTTTGTTTGGTTTCTATGACTGCAGAAAAAGTGTCCACAGTATAAGATATGCTGAATCAGAATCTGACTTCTTTGAATCACAGAAAAAAACACAATACAGTACATTATTATGAAATTAAATTCATCATTATTATAAAAATATTTTAAGTATAACTCTTGACTATTAAGAGACAATTTATCAAAGCTAATACAGAAGTTCTAAATTATAAACTCTGTGGAACACTAGATGAGGCTAGAAAACAAACCATGGTGTTTTCTGGTATCTCTTTCATAATCTACAAACTAAGCACACCTAACAGCCACAGAAAGTGCACAAATCTATGTTACAATCAGAGCTTGTGAGATTACTTAAAACAACATGTTATTAATCTTTTTTAAAGTAACACATTATTTGTTACTACATTACTTGTTACCCATTACTAATGTATTACTTTTATTTCTTAATGTTTAAATCCTGGAAATAGAAAACTGGCCTATATTCTCCAACAGAAAATGTTTCAGAATTAACAAGTAAATGCTACCAAAGAATTAACATTGTTATTTAAATAAATGTCACTATGCACTCATTACTCTCAAAAATAAAATACTGTAGTAACAGTTGTACCATCTACATACAGTGAATTAGGAAGGCTAGAAAAGGTGCACAGAACCCAATGTAAAAAGTTCTAGAATCTCTGAATATATTGTTAAGGCAAGTTAAACCATTAAGAGGGTTAGTGGATTTTTTCCCCCAACAAAAAGGATGCAATATTGACAGTTAAAATCTGGGCACTAGTATTCTAGGCATCATCACTTTTTCTCCAGTGACTTGTCTGCCATTACAAAAACTACTTCAAGTGAGGCCAAACAGTTACTATTTCAAGGAAAAAATATGCCCTAATCAACCTGCATCTTGTTTTTTCATTACTAAATTTTTTTTCACATCGGACTTTACTAAACATATACAGAGGCAAAGTCCATCATGATTACAACACTACAAAACACTGGTATTCTGGTTACACATTGTTGGCCTCATCACATGGTCAACTGCACAATTTAGATGTGCTTCATCATCTTATCAATTAATCACAATTTAGCCTGGAAAAGTTACACAAACCTTATGCAAATAATAGGATTCTGACTAGTTTGATGTTTCTTTCCTCTTTTTCAGTACAAATTTTGAATATGTAACTTGTACTAGTCTGTATTTTCTTAGAAATCTGGATACCATTCTGTGGACTTGTGAATCACACAGTCTTAACAAACATGAAATAGAAGCTGCATTAAATGGCTGCACCAGCAATTCTCAGGTTCTCCAGTTCTATCTCATATGAAAGCACTCAACTGAAGTCACTCAACAGGTTTTGTTATTTTTAAGGGACAGGAGAGATACAAGGAGCTCTCATTTGTCTTTATAAGCACTGAGTGACAAGATTGTAATTTTTGCCTTTAGCTATTTTATTATGACACTCTCCATTTTAGGTTCTTTTAGATTAGTTTCAATCAATATGATGAGGAAGAAGAAAAATGAAGACAAACTTCACTGATTTCAGTGAAAGTCATCTCTCCCAAAGTTATCTTGCAGAGTAAGACAACTACTGTAACATTCAGCTAACAAGAAATGCTAAAGGAGAAGAACAGAAGCAGTCTTAACAAACAGCAAAACTTACAGTGTGAAACTGCATTAGCAGTTCATTATGATTGGGGCATACAGCATCACAGACTGGATTTGTCTTGCTTTGTATCAAAACATTTTCCGAACAAGAAATGTTTTCCCCAGATAGAAAAAGTAACAAAGAAAAGGTGGCAAAATCAGATCTATCAATCTTGGGGGAAAAGACCAAAACACCCATAACTAGTGCCTAAAATAAAAACATGCTGTCATGGAGAAATGTTGAACATACCTTAGCCACTGTAATTAGAGAAAGCCATATGTGTGACTTTATGTATGAAGCAACTGCATCATGCAATACTGGCAGAGGTACAGGACTCACTATCAACTGTATGCATTATTTTTGCAAATACACTATCTATGCTATGTACAAAACATTATGCAATTCTATGTATAGATAACACACAACGATTGGTTAACAAGAAACATTAGTTGTAATAAAGTTCTAGGTGAGTTAAACAGCAAGGCAGGATTGGCAAGGTCTGCTTTCTACATTTAAAATGCAGACTCTCAAGATATGTATTCATAAGATCCCGCTGCAGACATGTTGAGAGGAGCACTCCTGCATGCAATATATAAAATTACAACCTTTGTATATACTGCATATTTGTAAGATCAATACACTTTATATTTGCTCTTTGACATATAGCATGATCCCTGAAAGGCTTTAAGGAAGCACTCTTATTCTTACATGCAGGAAGTCCTCTGCATCATCTTTTGCATGATCTGTACAAAAGAAAGACAGACTTACCAGCAGTTCTTTTAACAGTGGTCTTCCTCTTCCTTCAGCCTACAACTGAGTCCTTATACTAAGCGTAATGGCTCCACCTACCAGGAAGCAAAAGAATTGTCAATCAAGAATATCACAGGGTACCACTTTGCCTACTTTCAATTCAGTTAAAGATTTTCTTCAGAAATGTAAGTACATACTACAAATGTGTGAGAAAAATATTATTAAGTGTCTCTTGGGGGGAATTACTAAGGAAGTGATGTTTGGAGAACAGAGAAAGAATATTCACTGGGGCAGTTAAAGTCTTTCAAAATTCCATAAATTTCTTCTCCCTCAGTCCTTAAAATATTTACTAAAGAATGAAACAGTGACTATGCAAAGCTCATGAAATCCCAATCAGTAGGCAAGACTTCAATACAACAATGAATTCTATGAATAGCAGCAAGGAAAACAGAAGTAGCAAAAAAGAACTACAGCCTTTTTAACAATACAATAGCCTGCAGCTTAAGTATAATAAAATATTTCATACACAACTGCTGAAATATTTTTATCAACTATCCATAATAGTTGAAGATAATATATATGTTTACTCAGGAACTAGTATAGTGCAGTAGATATATTGATGAACTAAGGAAAAGCTGGGCTCTAATCCCAGGTCATCCATGCAAACTCACCAAGGGTGTAATGTGGGGTGCCACTGGCAAAATCGCTCCTTCAATATATCATATACTGTACCTTGAAAACCCAATCAAGGTTGTTCTAAGTTGGATACAACTTGATAGCAGAATGGTATGACATATGTTTAGTCACAATATGGTAGGTTTTACTATGTGCATACCCCACTTTATACTCCACTTTAAGTATTTCATTGCACAAAGGTAGATTTTGGTTATTATGTTTTCACCTACCTATTTTTCAAGTTGAAAACAAAGTATAATGATATAATACTATACAAAGAAAGAAAATTTCATATGCCCAATCTCTGAAGTTCAACTGAAATACATTGTTTCAACCTAGGATTGTGAATTCAAGTTGGGTGTTGAAGGTTCTGAAGGAAAACTGCCTTTGCTATTTTACACAAGGCAAATGTAATATTTTCAAATAAAACATGGCATACTAAAGTACAAGATCACTGGGACAACTTATTAAGTGTGTTTTTAGAATATTAAACTTTAGGTCCTATCTTTGCAGGTGTCTCAAGACATGAACTGGTAGATTTATTTTTATGTCGTAGCAATACTTTTGATTTTTATGAAAGATGGACTGAAAGATTAGTTAAATTGAAATGAAATAAAGAAGGAAAGAAGTGTAGTGTTCATGCTTTTGAATAGTTAACATTTTCATTCTGTAGCCAGTGAAGCAATTATTTTATAAAGTAGGGCATACATGTTTGAATAATTAAATAAAATAATTTGTAGGTAACCTTCTTTCTATTAGTCATAAGCTAAATCTATCTACCAAGGGTGTAAAAGGATTACACCAGTCTCATTTTAGCGAATGTCTATAAAGCGTCCAGCAGATTAAATGTGAGAAATAATTTCAGACATCATAGCAACAATCTTGACTACATACCATTAGCAACCCAATGAATGCTAATGTGACTGTGCGCAAAGTCTAGAAAAGATACAGACTCTTGAGAACCTGGCTGTAGCTACTGACAATAAAGTGGAACAGAGTGTTTTAATAGTAAAATTATCTATCTAATTATTTCAGTAATTTAAACACTGAAGGTTCCTAAAGCAGTCATTAACAGTATACTTATATCAGCCAAGTAAATAAAGATTACAAAGATAAAAGTGACAACAAAATCGAAGTTTCGGTTGTAGTAGCTGGTTGGATAGCTCAGTGAGTTAAGCATCTAGCTTTGGAGTCAAAGGTTGAAAGCTTGATTTCCCACTGTGCTTTCTGAGAGTAGAGCTACTTGCGTAGCCATGGGCAAGCTGAACAATCACAGGAAGACCCCTAGAATGGTAAATCACTGAGTACTCTGTATCTAGAAAAGGGTCACCATGAATTGGAATTGATTTGACAACATATGATTATTAATTATTAATTACTTATTACTGCAATACAGTAAGAGAATAAAAGTGACTTTCGGTAAGATTTTTAAATTGTAGAATAAGCAGCAAGATTGAAATATAAGTAATAACAGGATTTTTGACAACTGTCAAGCTCAAGTTTTGTCTCCAATTTAGACACATGCATATGAAATTGTCTATACACACATACAACAACCAGCTACATCCATCTGCTGAACTATGATTACTGTATTTTCAAAGAGGGTGAGAGCAGGATAATTAATTACTTGGCTTCTCTTTCAGGCTTATACACACGCTCTTCAATATTTACACAGCTTCTTTAAAAACTATTATTTTAAACTTAAACCTGCCTCTAGAAAGACAAAGAGACAGAAAAGGTACAGGAAGAACCTGTACTTGCTAGCGACAAAGATGCACAAGAGGGCAAAAACAATGTGTGCATTTATTATGACCAAACAAAAGAGACAGAAAAGTGCTCCTCCACTCTAGCTCAAGAAGCCATGAAGAAGCCAGGATGGATAAAAATCGATTTTTTTCATTCATTTAAATAATCAAAAATCCTATTTTTAAATTTAAATCCTAATTTAAATCAATTTGATTTAAATGAAAACCACCCTGGGTTTTACTTACTTAAAATATTTTTATCCCTCCTTTCTTCTTTAAAATAACCCAAGGCATTCCTCTGGGTAACCCCAAAGTTTGTTCATATTTCAGCTACACCTAATAATGGCAGTGTTCTGGGGAATTTTCTTCTGTAAGGTATGCACAGACAATTTTGCTTTAAACTGCTGATATTTTCCAGGAACTGAAAACAGAAATCACATTGCATTCATGTTTAATTCCTTAACTTCAGAAAGTTACATTTCTTTCATGCTAACCTTCTACAATTATTCCGTTTAGATGATGCGCAGAGCACAACACAAACATGTTGCATTCGGCCTGTCTGCTTTTTGTACAGCACCTACATTAGCAGAAGAACAAAAACCTGCTTGAATAACACTGCCAAGTGATATTAGAACTCAAATCCAGATGCTAGAATGTTAAACATTTCCTTTCCTCTAGCCAAAGGTCAAGAATTTGACACTTACTATTCTTAAACTTCATATGAATATTTTTTCTGGTTTTCCAGAACCACAAACACCCCTCTGTGCAACATGCATTACAGGGTTGGTTAAAAACCAGATTTTAAAAACATCATAATTTGGACCAGTAAACGGAATACAAATGGTTTTCTTTAATTACATCACAAAAAATCTATCCTTAAATCCTTAAATATCATAAAATGCTTTCATTGGATTGGAAGCATAAAATCAAAAATAAGGATCAATTAAGAGGTGTTCTTGCAGAAGAAAACTTAAATGGATTAAATACAACTGGAACAATGGTTGAAAGGAGGAGAAAAAATAAAGGATAGACAATTGACAAAGTTTGAATATATCAAAGATATGAAGAATGAGGCAAACGGGAAAAAAGAGGAAAGGAACAATTGGTAATATTGATAGAATATTGACAGAAGAGACAGATCAGTTGGGAGAGTTAAAAATAATATGGAACACAGATTTAGGAAAAAAGATCGAGGAATGGAAAATGTATCGAATAGAAGGGTTTTTAAAACATGTCAGAATAAAAGAGAATGGTTATCAAACAATATGGAAATGGTATTTAACACTGATAAAATTAAACAAAATAGATTCTAAATATTCCAAGATGTGCTGGAGATGTAATAAAGAATTAGGTACATGGAGGAAGGTTTTTAAAGAAATCAGAGAAATATTAGAAATCAACATTGAAGCATCATCAAGAATAGCATTATTATTAAAAGATAACCATAACATAAATAACTTAAGAAAGATATGATTATAAACATGATAACAACTGCTCAATTACTTACAGCAAAAAAACTGGAAGAAGAACTTGATTTTTCAACCACATGAATGGTATAATGAAATTGGAATATCGTGATTAATGATAAACTGACATCTGAAGTTAAGTTTAAAACGGAGTGATAGGTTAATAAATTTAATGAGATACTGGGTGACTTTATCATATAAAGGAAGAGGGCAAAAGCCAGGTCAAGAATATATGTGTTTCTGGAAGGGATAAGGAGTAGAGATGTGGGTATTTGTATACGAACAGCTGCCTAGAGTGGTCGTATAGACCAGATGGGCGGGATATAAACAAACAAACAAACAAACAAACAAATATCCCCGAGAGGTGGAAATAATGAGAGTTACCATTCTGCCGCTAACACCAGCTTGACACAGCCTTCCTATCCCACCACTGTCTGCAATGGATTAGCCACTCTGCAACATGACAGAAAGGATTGACATCTCGCCTCCTGCCAGGAGTGGCGATTCTACTGCGGTGCGATAGGAAGGCTTTGTCAAGGTGGCATCAGTGGCGGAATGGTGAGTGGACAGACCCTCGTTATTTCCACCTGTGGGGGGATATTCATATTCATATACGAATACCCTCATTTCTAATAAGGAGTCTTTTAAAAGATGAAGGAAACTTTGTTAAGGCAGCTAATCATTTGTTCTTGGTATTCTCAGGAATTAAAGCACATTTTTCTCAACATCTTGTCTTGAAAGAATTCATTAAAAGTTTTTCCTTTTTTTGTCTTCCAGGTGGTTACAATTTTGGGGGCTCTATTACACAGTTCAAAATTACAGCTATCAGGTTTCCAGGAACATTCAGAGCCTCTCTACATTAGTTCTGATGTAAAGTATTGTCTACACTGTAGGGTTTTAGAGAAAGACCATTTCACTTCCAACATTAGATTAGGCATCCTTTAGTCTCAAGAAACTATGGTAACGTGCTCTGAATATAGGACTTGGAACAGCATCTAGTGTGGCTGAGAAGGTCAATTCGAGAGTGACAATCCCTTCAACACTCAAGACAAATACAGTCTGTCCCCTGTCCAGCTCCCTGATTTTGCTGGTTTCGGGACTGCCTCTTTGCCTCAGCCTGCTGGACAAGGGTCTCTTCAAAATGGGAGAGGCCATGATGCACCGCCTGCCTCCAGGCTGAATGCTCAGATGTCAAGGTTTCTCATCTGTTGAGGTCCATTACTAAGGCCTTCAGATCCCGCTTGCAGATATCCTTGTATCGCACCAGTGGTCTCCCCCTCTGGGGTGCTTTCCCTGCACTAATTCTCCATACAGGAGATCTTTTGGAATCCGACCATCGGCCATTCTCACAACATGCCTGAGCCAGTATAGACGTCACTGTTTCAGTAATATATATATGCTAAAAATTCCAGCTCGTTCTAGAACTTACTTATTTGGAACTTTATCCTGCCAGATGATACAAAAAAATGTATTGGAGACAGCGCATATGGAACGTGTTCCCACATGTAGATTACTGAAACTGAGTCATTATGAATAGAAAGTGTATCCTTCACCATGGAGCAATGATACTTCCTTATATCAAAGACATGGTAAAAATAAACTATTACTGCTTTTCTCAAATCCAACCTGAGGAAGCCATTGCTTATATATTAAGTAAATTCTGAAGAGGAAGAAGTGTATTTACCTGCAACACTATCCTTCAGTTTTACCAATCTCTGCATTTGGTATAGATTTATAATGTAACCTTTTAACTTATATAGAACACAGACAGTCTTTGTCTTTAAGGAATATTGTAATGCTCACACATGTTGAAAAAGCTAGTAATCTTTCAACTCACAAGTATTTCCATGGAAGTTCATTAATTCATTAAAACAAAAGTAGCCATAGAATGCCTCGCAGCCCAACTGACTTCAACCAAAAGAGTCTGAAATGAAATGGAATTACATAGGTCTAAATTAGTGTACTATAACTCCATTGAGTTGTTGGTTTTGCTATTAATATAATCAAAAACACTGGTGATGCAAACAAACACACTGAAAACATACAATGACCATTCCACAATTCATCACTATTTGATCTAATACAAACTGCGGGCCAACACCTGTCATATAATTTAAGCCAGCACAGTGGAACAATGTCATCTCAAGAGGCAGATCACAACCTATTAAGAGTCCCCACTGCAACTCCTCATGGAATTATTCAATGTACACAAGCTAGATGACTGTGCATGTGACCTGAAATCCATGTCATGCATAAAGCCACCCAACTCATGTGCAACAAAGAAGCAGTAATCTCCCTCTAAAATGCCATCATTTCTGAAGAGATGATAGTACAAAAGGGAAAACATGAAAGAGAAAAGTAGAATGAGAAAGATAATGATACAAGTGGAGGACCAACATGATGCTTTTAAATTGTTATGGGAATCAGATTTGGGACGGGAAGTAAGTACTGAGGTGTAGAATATTAAAATGTGTGTCAGTATAAATAAAATAATATTTTATCTAATTGGTTTGGAGATGGTATCTAAACCTGGTGAAACTCAATTGTATGGATAATAAATACTCTTATTTATGTTGGATATATGACCAGGATGTAGGTACTTTTACATGTGGCATGAGTGCAAGAATATATTCAAATTTTGAAAGCTGGTTTTTAAAGATATAAATGAAATATTGAAGTTAAATGTAGTGGTATGCCCCAGAATAGAGGCTTTATTACTGTATTTTTCCATGTATAAGGCACCCCCACTTTTCTAACCCAAAATTAAGAAATTTAAGTGGGACTTGGCAAATGTAAGGGGAAAGGGATCAAAGTGCTACAGGATCGCTTCAATCCCTGCTTTCTCTCTTTGTGCTAAGCCCTATGGGATTTAGCAAGCAGAGGGGAAAGCAGGGATCAAAGTCCTGCAGGATCACTTGATCCCTGCTTTCCCCTCCACTTGTTTTTGTTTTCTCCTCAGCTTACTTCCGTGTATAAGATGACCATGGAAAAATATGGTAATATTTTATAGGGAACAATGGGATTGGACAGTAAAAGAATTAATTACAAATTTATTAACACTGGCAAGACTAAAGATAGCAAAAAAACTGGAAAGTAAAGCATGATTTTCAATTACATGATGATATAAAGCCATATGGAGTATAGCCATTAATGATATATTAACTTGTAATATGAAAGTCAAAAAGAGTTTGATAGATAGGAGTATTTTTAGTAATATTATGAATTTTTATTGATTATGCATTAAGGTTGTGTACCTTCACAAGATTCAATGCAGTTTTAGAAGGGGAAAGGGACTTCATAAATGGTAAAAATTAGATTTAAATATGTCTCCAAATGGTCCTGGTGGAAGGTTGTGCTTTTGTGTCTATTAAGTTTTTTCTTAGATTTGTATTATTAGGGTTTTTGTGTTTTTATTTAGATTTATAAAAATTAAGTAAAAAGAATAATTTTATCTTCACTGATCTAAGTCAGACAACAGTTTTGGGCCAGCATTTGTTGGCTGAATCAGTTCACTCCAAACTATACATGTGACAGTTGGCTATTCTTGATGGACTTCTTCCCAAAACCCACTGCAGCAGTTTCACAATATAAAGTCTATTTAAATGGCAGTTATTTATACTCAGCAACAAAGAAGCAAAACTCTGAACACAGGGGGCTGGTTAAAACCTGTATAATATGGACAGATTTAATGTTACCAAAGAAGTAGGAAGAGAGAGAGAGAAAAACTATTTTTCACGTTTTACATATTTTCCAAAGGCATGTTCACTGACTGCCATGACAATTAGAACATACTGGCAATAATTCTATTTAACTGTAATGTTGCTACAACTTAAGAAGTTAGCAAAGGCATTTGGTGTAGCCAATGCATATGCTAACTTCATAATCTGCAACAATCTGAGAATGTATTTCGCATTTATAAAATCTTAATTGGATAACTTTTCTTAGTGGCTTTAAGAAGAAGTATACAAAATGAATGGTAAAATACACCTGCAAGTGGCAAATAAAAGCAGATTTTTAAAAAATCACAATATGCAACTCTTCAAAAAGAACCACTTTAAAAGTATATATAAAAGCCAATTGGAAATCTGTGCTTTGTAAACAGGTAGAATTGTACATTTCAAATCAAAGGGACTTAAAAGGTGAACATCGTATGGACTGTAAAGTCAATGATGGCTCTATGTAGTTTTAACTGATGACCAAAATCCTATTTGTTGTGCCCACTGGCAAAACACAACTGGTATATATATCATATGTAGTGTTGCCTTTTGTTTGCATCTAATATAAGTGAACATATTTTAAACCAATGTCTTGAATTTTAATGGATAGGGAAGGAGCAAAACAACTCAATCCAGATTAAGAGGGATATACTATTAGTACTTGGTTTGTGGGTCCCTTTGGCTGGTGTCAAATATGGTTTGGAAAGGTTTGCATACTTCCAAAACAATCAAATACAGTGGTGCCTCGCTTAACGAGCGCACCGTACAACGATGAAATCGCATAGCGATCCCTTTTTTGGGATCGCTAATGCGATCGCTCAACGTTTTTTTAATAGGGCAAAATTCGCTTTGCGAAGACCGCTAAGAGTTTCGCTTACCGATCTTCGCAAAACGAAGCCCGACGATCAGCTGTTAGGCGGCCAAAATGGCCACCGGAAGCCCGGAAATGGTCCAAAATGGCCACGCGCAGCGTTTTCGCGCCCTCGTTAAGTGAGGGGAGGGCGCGAAAATGGCTGCCGGCCATTAAGAAGCATCGCTGAAGGTTGGGTTTTCGGCCCATTTGGAACGCATTAAACCATGTTTAATGCGTTCCAATGGAATTCCCTGCCCCGTTCAACGATGCTTCAGCATAGCGAAGGTTAATCCGGAACGGATTAACCTCGCTATGCGAGGCACCACTGTACTTACTTTGGCATGCTCTTCCATCCTGCACTTGCTGGAGGCTTAAGTGGCTTTGGTGACTCAGAGGTCTTTTATTGGTTTAAGCAGCTACAGCAGTTACAATTCTATTTCAACAGGGTCGGACTAATTTGCCTATCCTGGCAACTTAGCTATGAACATTTGGGCAGAAGGCAGCCCCATGTAGAAATATATAGCAACAATCTCATTTGGGAAAGAAGTAAAAAGATACGTTGTGCCCATCCAGCTTTTTGATGATATACAAATGTCTATTTTGTTCTTTCTGTTTACTCTGGTAACTTTATTCTGATCAACCAAATCTTTTTACTGTGAGTTATTGCTATCTTCCTAAATTAACTAGGTCACACAGTTATGTGATATGTACTAACTACTTATGGATATAAACTTCTTTCTAGTAACATGTTATGACAAAATAAAATATTTCAACATTAAATATTTATATTTATAAAATATTTATAAAATATTTCAACACCCAACCCCAAAACATCGAAAACTTATTTTATCAGTTTTCATTTGTTTATAGCAATCGTTTCCAACTTTGTGTCCCCAAAGGGTCTTGGACTAAAACTCCCAGAAGCCTTCACCACTAGCTGTACTGGCCAGGATCTCTGGGAGTTACAGTCCAAGAATCTCTGGGGACCCAAGGTTGGGAAGCACTGCTTTAGAGTTTAAATACCCTCACCTTTTTGCCTTCAGAGCTCTCAAACGGCTTCCTCCAATGTCGGGAGGGAAGCCCTTTGAGAGGTCCGAAGGCAAAAAGGCAGGGAGAAAGGGCTGGAAATCCGAATTTCCCGACCTTTCTGGCTTTGGAGCTCTCATAGGACTTTCCCCCCCCAACATTCGAGGAAGCCCTTTGAGAGCTCTGAAGCCAGAAAGGCAGGGAGAAAGGGGGGGAATTCGAATTTCCAGCCCTTTCTCCCTGCCTTTTTGTCTTCGGACCTCTCAAAGGGCTTCAAAAAGGCAGGGAGAAAGGGCTGGAAATCCGAATTTCCCGACCTTTCTGGCTTTGGAGCTCTCATAGGACTTTCCCCCCCCAACATTCGAGGAAGCCCTTTGAGAGCTCTGAAGCCAGAAAGGCAGGGAGAAAGGGGGGGAATTCGAATTTCCAGCCCTTTCTCCCTGCCTTTTTGTCTTCGGACCTCTCAAAGGGCTTCCTCCGATGTCAGAGGGAAAGCCCTTTGAGAGCTCCGAAGGTGCCGATCACCGCAGCGGGGACCCCTGTGGAGGTCTCCCAGGGCTTGCCTGCCACCATGGGAGACCTCCCTGGGGGTCCATGCTGCCGTGATCAGTGCCTTTGGAGCTCTCAAAGGGCTTTCCCCCACCCCGACATCGGAGGAAGCCGTATGAGAGCTCTGAAGGCAAAAAGGCAGGGAGAAAGGGTAGGAAATTGGAATTTCCAGCCCTTTCCCCCTGCCTTTTTGCCTTTTGAAATGCTGGAATGGATTAATTCCATTCCCATGCATTTCAATGGGAAATGGTACTTCAACTTACGAACTTTTTGATGTACGAATGTCATTCCAAAACGGATTAAGTTCGTAAGTCTAGGTACCATTGTATATGCATTCCTCTTCACCCTGCTATAGCTTATTCAGCTAAGCTTAAAGTCGAACAGGAAACTCCCAGAGCATTCAATCAAATATTATGATACCAAGTTGTGTGCTACATGAAAAATGCAAACTTACAGAGACTTTGAACACCGGCCACTTTGTGAGAAAGGTTCACCAAGTGATTCCTATGTTTCTTCCATGGCATAAAGGAAGATTTCTGAACACAATGGAAAAGCAAAAATATGCAGAACTAAATGGAAAAAATTACAGAATAATGACTACTGAAGAACTACACAACTTTAGTGGAGGCCATTCACCAGGACCTTGACCACCATATTTCATCAGTAGATCGACAGAGACATTCACTGTGTTGGCTTGTCCAGCTCTATTAGACTAATTTCAGCCTTTAATGTCATCTGAGGTCAACAGAGTGCTTGACTTATGTGGGGCCACCATAACTC